CGATCTTTGCCTGGGTAAAGTAGCTTTATTAGAGAGCAGGGATCACACAGGACTTAGGAGTTAGCATTGGGGCCCTTCTTGCCAAAGGTGGGCACTACGATGGATGACAAAGCGCCAGTTATGCTGCATCCGCCTCTTGGATCCCATCTTCCTCCTCCTTCTCTTCCGCCTCCTCTGCCTCTTCCTCCTCTTCTCTCCTCCTCCTCTTCCTCCTCTTGCTCCTCTTCCTCCCCTCTTCCTCCTCTTCCACTTCTCCTCTTCCTCCTCCTCTCCTTCTCTTCCTTCTCCCCTCCTCCTCTTCTTCTCCCTCTCCTCTTCTCTGCTCCTCCTCTTCCTCCTCCTCCCCTTCCTCTTCTCCCTCTCCTCTGCTCCTCCCCTCCTCCTCTTCTTCTCCCCCTCTTCTCTCCTCCTCGTCTTCCTCCTCCCCTCCTCCTCCTCTTCTCCCCCTCTCTTCTTGCCCCCCTCTCTTCTCCTCCCCGTCTCCCTCCTCCCCCCCTCCTCCTCTTCTCCCCCTCTTCTCTCCTCCTCGTCTTCCTCCTCCCCTCCTCCTCTTCCTCTTCTCCCCCTCTTCCTTCTCTCCTCCTCGTCTCCCTCCTCGTCTTCCTCCTCCTCTTCCTCCTCACCTCCTCCTCCTCACCTCCTCCTCCTCTTCTCCTCCTCTTCCTTCTCCTCTCCTCCTCCTCCCCTTCCTCCTCTTCCTCCTGTTTGGCCACCTTGGGAGTTTGACCTCTCACTATTCCAACAAGGGCCAGGGAACTATGGACTTTACCTCCCAGCATGTGACCTCCAGAGTGTTCAGAGCTTCCACCCCACACTGGCCTAGGGTGGCCTCATCCTCCAGTGGCAAGCCAGCCAGAAGCATGATTTGATCTGAGGCAATGCCCTCCAGTGAGGTCACATGAGCCTTGATCTGGGTCACCATCTCCTGGCTGGTCACCACATGGGTGTGTAGCTCCTGGGCACCAACAAAGGGCTGCATGTTGGCGACTGACACAAGGATACTGCTGCCACTACCGGAAAGATAGAATTGAGAAATCTATACTCTTACAATGTGTTCGTAAGCTTAGGACATTTCAAGTTTCCTTGGCTTTACTTACTGGGTAGATACCTTGAAATGTAACCCTGAGATGCTCAGAGATGTTCTCACTACCCTGAGATGCTTTGTTACTCTGTAAAGTCTTGAAGCTCCGTGATGTTTCTCCCTCACTATGTCTAACTGTAAAACTAAAAGAATGGAAAGTTCACCAAATGGTTTAATGAAGCACCTGTTAGTCCAGTTAGTCCAAGAAAAGTGTAGATCAGAAGTGTCAGAAATCTAAACTTCTGCCAATGATACCTGTTTCAGTAACCCAAAATGGCCATTTGACGGGGCCCTAGCACAATTAACCTAGCCTAGATGTAGATCAAAAGACAGCAGATGTCTGGACCCACGCCCAGGATATCTACTTTGAAAATTATGTTGGCTGAGTGAACTCAAGAAAGAATTTCTATAGATAACATAACCCCTCATGCAAAGACACATAGGGCC